GCTTCTGTCCCTGATCGTGTTCCTCGTGTTCGTCATCCTCGTGCTACGGCTGTCCCAGGCACTCACGATATGACACTCCGTCCTTCCTCTGTTCCACAGCATGTTGTCCTGCCGTCACCTCCTGCGTCTTCTCTTCCTGTTGTTGCTGACCCTCCGTCTGACCTTGCTCGTGCTTCCAATCCGACTGTCACTCGCTTTCTTGCTACAGTTGTGACGGACCCTACGTTCTCGTCTCCTGCTGCGTCTGCCTTAATCGCTGAGCTAGTCGACTTTGCTGCTGCGTACCGCCTAGACTACCTTGCGAGTCTTGATTCTGACCCTGACCCTGCCTGTCCTCCGTCCGTCGGTGGTGAGGTTGCCCTTGGCTGTGACGTTCTTGAGGACAGACAGGAGGAGCTGGAGTGCCTTGCTGCTGCTGTACCTCATCTCGCTGCCATGCTGCTTGCCCCTAAGGGAGACCCGGATGCACTTGACATCCCCACCCCGCGCTCTTACAGAGAGGCGACCTCGGGTAAGTACTCCTCTCAGTGGCAGACAGCCATGGACGCAGAGATGGCTTCCTGGAAGTCCACAGGCACCTACGTCGACGAGGTTCCCCCTCCGGGGGCGAACATCGTCAGTGGCATGTGGATTTTCAGGGTGAAGCGCCCGCCGGGTTCTCCGCCTGCCTTCATGGCACGTTACGTTGCTCGTGGCTTCAGTCAGCGTGAGTGGGTCGACTTCTTTCAGACCTTCTCCCCCACCCCGAAGATGACCACTCTTCGGGTGTTGCTACACGTTGCAGCTCAGCGTGACTACGGGCTGCACTCCCTCGACTTTTCGACAGCTTTCTTGCAGGGTAGCCTTCACGAGGCCATCTGGCTGCGCCGTCCATCTAGCTTCACTGGGTCATTTCCTGAGGGTACCCAGTGGAGCCTACGGCGGCCAGTGTACGGCCTGCGTCAGGCACCCCGCGAGTGGCACGGCACACTGAGGACGACACTTGCGGCTCTTGGGTTTGCTCCTTCTACTGCTGACCCGTCGTTGTTTCTGCGCACCGACCCTTCTCTGTCACCGTTCTACATCCTCGTGTACGTCGACGACTTGGTTTTTGCTACTGCTGACACTGAGGCATTGGCCCTAGTGAAGGCGGAGTTGCAGGAGAGACACACCTGCACTGACCTGGGTGAGCTGCGGAGCTATCTTGGCTTGCAGATCATCCGGGACAGAGCACGGCGCACCATCACCCTGACGCAATCACACATGGTGCACCAGGTCCTTCAGCGCTTCGACTTCACGTGGTCCTCTCCACAGCCCACTCCTCTGCCTACAGGCCACTCGCTCTCAGCTCCACCTTCGGACGAGTCCGGAGAGCCGAGTGGTCCGTATCCAGAGCTAGTGGGTTGCCTCATGTAACTGATGACGTGCACACGACCTGACCTCGCGTGCCCTCTCAGCCTCCTGGCTCGCTACGTGGCTCCCGGTAGACACCGAAAGGTGCACTGGGAAGCTGCTAAGAGGGTACTGCGTTACTTGTGCAGTACATCGGGCACGGGGCTTGTGCTTGGAGGACGGGACTCAGTGGTACTCACAGGTCACTCAGACGCTTCCTGGGCCGACGACCAGGCGACTCAGCGGTCGTCACAGGGTTACACCTTCAGTCTTGGCTCTGAATCTGTCTCGTGGAGTGTTCGTCCTCTGTGCTTGGTTCCAGCTGTGAGGCCGAGATCTACGCTGGGGCCATGGCTGCACAGGAGCTACGCTGGCTGACCTACCTGCTGACCGACTTGGGGGAGCGGCCTCGTTCTCCTCCAGTTTTGTACGTCGACAACAAGGCCATCCTTGCCTTGTGTCGCGAGCAGAGACTGGAGCACAGAACGAAGCACATGGCTCTTTGCTACTTTCTAGCTCGAGAGCTGCAGCAGCGTGGTCAGCTCCGCCTTTCCTACGTGGCCTCTCGGGCCAACACGGCTGATGTCTTCACTAAGGCACTTGTGTTTGGTGATCATCAGCGTTTCTGCACTGCTCTTGGGCTTCTGCCCACTCTGCCTCACCTGCTGGTTGCTTGACTTGCCTTGTACTGTGGTCTCTATATATATACCTGCATGCTTGCTCTTGCTAGGTTGTGATCACTGTACTGCTTGTGTTTTTATAGCGCTGCATGTGAACTGTCCTTGTGGCCGCTTGCTTGTGCTCAGACTGCGTGGTGATCTTGAGATCCACCCTGGGCTTTGCTTTATTTGCTTCTCATGACTGGTCTTGTGACCACTCTTTGGTTTGGCTATCCCCTCCTTCACCTATGGGGTTGTGTCAAAACATTATATGTTTATAGCTTTCTAGGCTATGTAGGGGTTATCCTTAGAGGGTACAACACTTTTCTCGACACTCTTGTACCCCCCCCCCCCCCCCCCCCCTTACCTAATCGACCATCACTTTCTCGCTACTATTAACAGACAGAGGTGACAGTCAAACACCTGAGTAGCCGACAGATGCAGTACATCCAAGACTCTCCCTTTCTTGGGATTCAGCTTGACGAGAGCACGGATCGGCGGCGCGGGAAGCACCTGATCGTTTACCTGTCGTTTTTTAGGGACGAGAGGGTGGTTACTGAGTTTTTTGGTCAGTTGAGAAATGCGACGCTTCCTCACTACTAACAGTGTTATTGGCATAGGCATTGACATCCAGAAAATATCGGGGATAAGCACGGATGGTGCCTACGTGATGACTGGGAAGGATAACGGCTTGGTGAAACAACTGAAAAATGCGCGTTCTGCACCTAGTTGGGTGCCACTGCATCGCTCATAGGTAAGGATTGTCTTAATACTAGCAGTCCTTGCTAATATTGTCAATACCTTGTTCTAATACTCTTCCTTCTGTACATGCAGAGAAACCTTGGTGGCAAAGGATGCCGCCACCGCCTTTCCGGACTTCGACGTAGTGGACCAAGTTGTCCGCTCTCTTGCAGACATCCTTGGGCGCAAGATCGTGGTCCACAGCCGTTTCCTGGAGCTGCAGCAGATTCTTCACTCGACATCTTTGGAGATGCAGGGCATAAAAGACATACGGTGGTTGTCGCGGGGAGACGCCGTGCAACGCCTCGTCGCGGTTCTACCTGCTGCGATCGTGCTGCTGTGGGAGCAGGACAAAGCGAGGTATCAATTGGTGACGTCCTTCAAGTTCCATTTTTCCTCCTCTTCCTCACTGGCGTTCTCAAGGAGCTGAACGACCTCAACAAGCATTTCTAGAGGAAGTTGGTAAGTGCTTAGTGTTTCGTGTTTATTGTTGCGCCGTGACTTATGTTATTTCCAAGATGCGCTCTCACACCATTGTGTTTACGCCACAGGTGGACATCACACGTGTTGTCGGGATCGTGCAGAACACGTGTGGCAAGCTTTGTGCGCCATACGTGGACTTCGGGGTGAACTTCGCAGAGGACAGCGAGAACTTGAGTCACTTCTTCGAGCTCCACACCGCACCAAATCGACGCATGATCACCGTCGAGGGCAACTCTGTCACGCACAGCTTCAAGCTTCATGAAGAAGACATTCCCGGCCATCAGTCAAAGAGGGACGTCGAGTCATTGACCGTCTCTTGTACCGCATGCGCAGCTTGGATTGCCTAGTCGAAGCCAAGCTTTTTCTGCCCGACGCTTACCCAGATGGCGTGGCCAGGCGAGACAGGGTGTGTGCTGGATGGTTCTCCTCGCTCCGCACGCTCTTCAACTGTGACAAGTACAAGCTGCCTGGTAGGTGACGATGGCAATGTTGTACTCACCAGTCCGCAATACGTGATGATGCTCTCGAGTCCGATCGCTAACATGTACGTTTTTATCGTCCAGGTGTTAACTGGAAGAAGGCAGAGCGAGAGCTTCTCCCCTTCACCCGAATGATGCAGGCGCAGTTCAAGGACCAGTCGTTTCACAACTGCCTCAAGAACCTTCTGAGGAGCGGGGACTGGGAGACGAGTTTCCCGAACCTCGTGGGACTCTAGATCGCCGTCGCTGTGATGCCGCTCAGCACCGTGGAGTGTGAGCGCGGGTTTAGTCGGCAGAACGTCATCAAATCATGGCTCCACGGAAATATGTGCAACGCGCGCCCTGCCGTGTCGAGACTAAGGCAAGAATGATGTCATTAGGTCAAGGTTGGGGTACAAAACTAGAGTGTCGAGAATGTTTCTGTACCCCCTAAGGCTAGCCCCAATATAGCCTAGATAATAATATGCATATGTTTTGACATGCCGACCTGATGTGCATCTCGCTGCTGCAGTATGAACCAGATTGGGACGATGTGGTGAAGTTGTGGCGCGCCGCTAGGAAGAGACGACCTGCAAAGGAAGTTAGCGGGGCTTCCAAGTTCGTATCCAAGCGCAAGGGAAAAGCAGGACAGGGCACAGCACCAGCACCAATGACTGCAGATGATGCGATGGAGCCTGCTGAAGTGCACCAGGGCGGCGGGGCGTTACGTGTGAGGTGCAGTAAATTCGGGCAAATCCTCGCTAAAAAAAATCAGTTTCATGGTAACTCTGAGCCTACCCTTTCTAGTCAGGGAAACGAAACTCCTACGCTGTTTTTGAAAGGGTAAAAATAAAACCACTAATTTGGAGAAAGGGTAACCATACGGTTAGCCTGCCTTGATCAGGGTAACTGGAAAAAAGAAAAGCGGCCCACAGAAAGGGCATGTTATTTTGGTCCCACCATAGTCCTTGCTAACGCACTTGAGTCGATGCCAGCATTAACGTTTGGCTAGTTTTCTTAGTGCCCGTGTGCCACTTGGAAACACAAATTGTTTACATCTCCTAGTGTCCTTGATATTTACGAGGTCAGCATACTCCAATACCTCAATGAAAATCACCTACCAGTAGAAAGTCCACCTCTAGGCAGCCTTCAAAGAGCTAGCAGTGCAGTGCTCCCTCCTACCTTACAAGCTAAGCCTACAACCACACACCCACCTTTCAGTGCAGAGCCCGACATCACAAGCAAGCGTGCAGCCAAACTCGCATGCCAACCTCCCCTTGCTTGTCATTCAGGATTGCTGCAACAAATGGGCGCCCATCATCCCCCTCTTGCTTCCCACTCCTGCACCGGCAGCAGCAGCAGCAGCAGCAGCAGCAGCAGCAGCAGCAGCAGGCACAGCAGCGGCAGAGGGGAAGACAAAGAGCCGTGACGTGTGCAGGCAGGGGTAGAGCTTGGCAGCAGGGCGGGGCGCCAGTAGCCGAATGAGCGGCAGCTGCAGCATACCTGATGTCACTGCAACCAGGCGGAAGGAGAGGCGGAGAGAGGCGCGGGGGAGCACTGTGACAGAGCCGCTGTGCTGGCCTGCAAACACAAAGCCTGGGGCGTCCTGCAGCTGATACACCACCTCTTGCAGCGAGGTGGTGCAGTTGGAGAGGCGGATGGAGAAGGAAAAGGGGGACCCCACGATCGTGAACGGCGGTAGGCGCAGCGACGCGACGAGAATCGGGTTGGCGGCGAGAACGGCCGGGAACAGCCGGAGAGACGAGACGGTTGGGGACAGCTGTGGGAGGAATGAGGGTGCGGGGGTTAGAGTCTGGGCTGCCTGTTGGTGTGGCTGGTCGGGTGGGGCTGCCGCGTCTAGAGTCAGTGCGACAGGGTCAGAGCCTGCCAGCTTGACACTCAATCCACTAGCCAGATCATTCTCGCTTGCCATGCCTGCAGGCACTTGCAAAACTGACTGACTGAGCAACCAATTGCTGCTCTCTCCTTGAGCTGCGTGGCGCTGCCACGTGAGCAGCAGCGAGCCGATGACGAGGGCGGGCGAGGCAACACGCGGGGTGACATGGAAGAGCTGGGTGAAAGACTCGCCTTGACCCAACACCAAGGGAAGTTCTGAATCACACGCCTCTGATTGCTCTTGTGATTCTGATGCCATTGGCTCTTCCCCTTCCCCTTCCCCACCGCCCTCCGCACCTGCACTGCTGCTGTCGCCACCTCTCCCATCGTCTGCGTGTGAAACAGCACGACCAGCAGCAGCAAGAGCAGCAGATGCACGGCCACGCATGGACACTGGCCGGACAAGGCACGCGGAATCGTCCCCTTGCAGCTGCTGCACTCGCACTGCCAGCAGCCGCAGTGCCGTGCACGCTGTGTTACGCACCACCACCGCCACCACACACGTCTCATGCACCGCCAGAGCTGCTGCCGGCGCCGCCCCTGTTCCTGCTGCCGCTGTGAGAGCAGAGAGAGAGGAGGGCGTGGAGGGGGGAAGCGGGGTGGTGGGGGTAGAGGCAGCGGAGGTGGTGGTGGGGGTGGAGGCAGCAGCAGGGGAGAACTGGAAGATGGGGATGAGGGAGTCCTTTCTAAAGGGGCCGATGTAGCGGTGGAGCACTGAGAGGGCTTCTTGGCACCGCAGGTCCTGAGATCTTGACACCTGGAACGGTGCTTTGGTGCTCCCGCTGCTGCTGCTCGCTGCGCTCTCACTGCTCACCACACCTTCCACTGCTCCTGCGCCTGCTGCTGTTCCTCCCCCTGCTGCTGCTGCTGCTGCTGCTGCAGCTGGGTCTGCTGAGGCTCCTTCACTTGCACATTCCCCAGGTTCACCTGCATCTGCACCAGCGGTGGCATCAGCAGGAACAGCAGCAGCAGGCTCCTCTCTCACGCTCCCCTGAGCCTGCATGGCTTGAGTGACAGCAGCAGCAGCCGGAGCAGGGGGGGAGGAGGAGTAGGAGAGAGTGGCAATGAAGCTTAGGGGAATGGCGGCCTTCCATCGGACAAACACCACTGTGCTCCATGACCCATGGGGTTCCACCATAGGCACCTTAATGTCTCCTCTCAATGCCACCAGCTGCTGCTGCTGCTGCTGCTGCTGCTGCTCGCTGCTCTCTCTTCTCTCGCGCCGGTTCCCTCCTTCATCCCCCTCTCCCACTCCTCCTCTTATCTCCCCATCTCCCAACCCCTGTCCCGCCCCCTGCCCCACCCACCCCCCCTGCTCCCCCCACGGCAATAGAATCTCCGCGGGAACAGCAGTCCCATGCACTTCTGTCTCCCCCCCCTCGTCTCTCCCCGCAGTGCCTTCCCCCAGGACTGCAAACGCGTCCCCTGCACTCGTACCAGCAGGTGGGATGGGCAAATACCCCGGGAGAGGAGGGGGTTCAAAGGCAGGCAGGTGGGCTATGAAAGGGATGCTGTGAGAGGCAGTGCCGGGGCCTTCCTTGTCTGTGCCGCCGCTGCCGGTTGCGCTGTTGGTGGTGCTGGTTGTGCTGCTGCTGGTAGCGGTGGTGGTGGTGGAAGAGGGGTTGTGGGAGGGTGCATGGGCAGTGGGCCAAGCAGCGGGAGAGGCAGGAGGGGACGATGCTGCCAGAGGGGAAGTAGAGGTAGAACCAGAGGCACCACCACCAGCACCAGCGGCAGCATTACCACCAGCAGCGCCAGCGGCGGCAGCAGCAGCGGACAGAACAAGCGACAGCGACGCAGACCACAGCGAATGCCCAAGCGACCGCACCCACACACGCACAGGCAACGCCTCCCCAACCAGCCCCCCGTCTGCTGCACACTCCACTGTCACATCCGCTAAAGGAGCCTCGTCTGCTATCTCTACTGCCTTCTGGCCCAGCACAGAGAGGGATGCGTCGGCAAAGGGTGAGGGAGAGGGGGCCTCGAAGACCCAGAAGGGCACGAGGCCTGCTGCTTGCGGGCTGTCGATGGGACAGGAGAGGATGGCATGTGGCGTGATGTGCGCCTGCACCTGCAGACACTCGAGGAGCCCGCTGAACGCTGCGAGAGGGAGCGAAGGAGATGGAGGGAGGGGGTGGGTAGTGTGAGGTTGGATGAGGGGGGAGGAGAGGAGAGGAGATGAGAGGAGAGGAGAGGAGAGGAGACGAGACGAGACGAGAAAATACAAGATAAGCGGAGAAGAGAGGCGGAAAAAGAAGGGTAGAGGAGAAAAGAAACGACAAGGGGAAGGGAGGATACAGTGCTACTCCACGCACGCTTCTGAATTCATCTTTAGCTGACAACTACTCAGTCCTGCCACTCATCCATGTGCGTGTAACCGCCATCACCACCACCATCACCACCACCATCACCACCGCCATCACCACCACCATCACCACTGCCATCACCACCACAACCGCCACCACCAGCATCGCCATCATAATCATATGAGCAGTGGCATGAGCATGAGAATGATCACCTGGAGTGACGGACAAGGACAGTCGCTTCCACACACCAGGCTGCAGCACCAGCCCTTCCGCATCCCCCCTTCTCCCCTCCTCCTCCTTCCTCCCATCCCCACTCCCAACCTCCTCCCCCTCCCCACTGCTCGGAATCCACGTGTCGCAGCAGGATTGGCTGAACCGCACCAGCAGCCGCTGCAGGCGCAGGGGAATGGGGAAGTGGGTGAGGAGGGACACGCACACCTGCAGCGACTGCCCCATGCGGGGAGGCGAGGGGGGGTGCGCGGGGCGGGGGGGGAAGGCGGCAGTGGCAGAGAGAACTGCACGCAGGTGGGGTAGATCCTGGGTGAAGAGGAGGAACGGGTGGGTCAGCCCAACTCTCAGGGCCGCTGCTGCTCCCTTTTTCGCTGCTTCCTCCCCTCCTGTAGATGCTGTCACGCTGCTGGCCCAGCTGCTCGCACTGTCCTCCCCTCCGCCTTCCCCTCCTCCTTTCCATGACTCTGAGATTCTGGTGAATCCGCTTCCTCCGCCTTCGCTCGCTCGCCTCTCCCCCTCGTCACTTTCGCTGCCCCCATCCATGCGCGCTCCTCTCAGCACCCGCAGAAGCTCCTGTGCCACTGCCCGCTTCTCCCTCTCCCCCACTCTCCCCCCCACCGCCACACTCCCCCCCACACCCCCCTCGTACACATCCCCCACGCCCCCTGCTCCTCCTCCCCCCTCCCCCGAACCCAAATCCATCCAGCTAGACGGGGGCAGGGACGCAGACGCAGTAGGAAGCGCAACCGCGGAGGGGGAAGCAGCGGAGGGGGGCGGGGAGGGGAGCGCGGGGAGAGTGCAGAGCTCGAGGGAGTAGAGCAGAAAGTCGGGGAGGAGGGAGAGGTGGCGCGCGCAGGAGCGGAGGTTGAGGAGGCAGAAGGCGAGGAGCGAGGAGAAGGAGTCGCGGCGGTAGAGCTGTGCGATGGCGTCTAGGAGCAGCTTGGCGTTGGGGTAGTCGTGCATGCATAGGTACTCGCGTGCCATGTCGCATGAGACCTGGGGTGGTGGGGAGTGTGGGCAATGAGGGTGAAAAACATGGTATGGCAGCAACTTGACGTTGGGGTAGTCGTGCATGCATAGGTACTCCCTTGCCATATCACATGCGACCTGCAGAAGGTGGGGGAGCAGAGACAGTAAGAGGCCGCGGAACGGGTGAGAATATGGTATGGCAGGGGCTTGGCGTTGGGGTAGTCGTGCATGCAGAGATACTCCCGTGCCATGTCGCATGAGACCTGGGGGGGAGGAGCGGGGAGGGGAGAGGCGTAGGCATGGGTAAGGATATGGTAAGGCAGCGGTTTGGCGTTGAGATGGTGGTGCATGCAGAGGTAATCTCGTGCCACATATGTGTGTTTGGGGTGGAGGGGAGGGAGGGAATGGGCGAGGGGGGGACGAAAGGGACGGGGTGGGGAAGCGGGTGTGTGGTGTGGTGTTATCAGAGTGGAATCACTTGTGAGAATCCTCAAAAGTGATTTCAACATAGATGGGGAAGGAGGATGTGGTGTTAGCAGTACAGGTCGTGTGCCTTGGCTGCCCTCGTCCCACCCCCCACCCACAGCCCCACCACCCCCCCTTTCACCGCCCACAGCCCACCCCACCTCCACCCCCGTCCCACCATCTCCCTCCCCTCCCCGCCTGTGCCATCATGCACTGGGCATGAATGCCGCGGTACAGGTCGTGTGCCTTGGCTGCGGTCCCACCCCTCATCCCCCATCCCACCACCCACTGCCCACCCAACCCATCCACGCGCCCCCTCCACCACCCCACCTGTGCCATCATGCGCTGTGCATGGATGCCGCGGTACAGGTCGTGTGCCTTGGCGTGCAGCAGAATGACCGCCCCCGACAGGTGCCCTGACCGCTGCCTCACCACCTCGTGCAGCAGCACCTCCTGGTCCGTGGGGCTGGGGTTGAGGGGAGGGGGGCCAAGAAAAGGTGTGGATGGGTGCGTGGGTGGTGCAGGGAAGGGGAAGGAACAAGAGAGTGTCTGACAAGTGGTCTGACTGCTGCCGCACCACCTCGTGCAGCAGCACCTCCTGATCCGTGGGGCTGGGGGGGGAGGGGAGGGGGAGGGATATGGGTGGGGGATCGGGTGGAGTTGCGGGTGGGCCGGAAGGGGAAGGCATTGTGAGCGTACGGTAGGTGGGTGGAGAGGGGGGAGCAAGTGGGTGAGAGGGTGTGGGGGAGGATAGACAATGCTGGCGACGAGGAGGAAGGGACGAGGACGGGAGACTGGGGCAAGAGAGGCACCTGAAAAAGCGCAACCCTGCGTGTGCGCCATGCACCATGTGCCATGCACCATCCGCCCTGCCCCCTGCACCGTACACCACACACCATGCTGCACCACACTCCACCCACCAACCACCACTCTCCACACACCACGCACCATGCACCACACGGCCACCCGTCAAGCTTCAAAGCCCTCTCAACAGCAGTGCACTCACCGCTGCTCGTGCGGCGCCTGTCCTCGGAACACCAGCCGGCACGCCTGCCCCACATACACCGGCTCCTCCACTCCCGAATTCCCCTCCGCCAGCACATCCACCAACCCATCCACACTCACTCCAACCGCTCCAAACGCCCCCGCCTGAACCCCTCCCACGCCGCCTCCGTCCCCTCCCAACGCCGCCAGCCCAAACGTATCCAGAGCCAAGCGGGCATCGTCATATGCACGCCTGTGCCGGAGCATGTGCTTTGCTGCTAGCTGGAACACACGTGCTACTAGCGGCACACGCAGGGACTGGGACGAGAAGGGACCCTGGCCTTCCAAGGCGGGCGGGAGAGGCGTTGCTGTGGCTGTGACTGCTGCTGTGGTGGCGGCGGCAGTGGCGGCAGCGGTCGCGCTTGTTGCTACAGCTACTGCTGCTGCTGCGGCGGCGGCGGCGGCTGCGGCAGCGGTGGCGGCGGTGACAGGGGCGGGGAGGGGAGGGACGGAGGAGGTGGAGGAGGAGGTGCTAGGGGCAGGGGAGAGAGGAGGGGAGGAACGGGCGGAGGAGGGGAGGGAGGAGGGCGCAGAGGGAGGGAAGGTGGAGAGAGAGGAGAGGGAGGCGGAGGAGAGGGCAGGGGACGGGGCAAGAGACGCAGTCGCCAACGGTGGCCCTGTAAGTTTCATCCCATCAGTATCAGCGGCAGCAGCAGCAGAAGCAGCCGCAGCAACAGCAGCATCGTCCCCCTCCACCCCCCCACCCCCTCCTCCACCCACCACAGGAGCAGCCGCCGCCGCCGCAGCAGACCCAACAGCAACAGCAGCACCAGCAGGGGTCCCCACCACATGCCCAGACGACGCCAACCGCTGCTGCAGCAACTCCCCAAACACCTCGTACTGCCTCGCCATCCACCCCCAGTGGAGAAACGCGGCTTCAGGGGGGCCCACGCGGGCTCGGAACCACTCCATGAAGGTGCGGAACCAGCCCACTGCTTCGACCTCGCGGCCCGAGTGCAGCAGGAGAGTGCAGACCTTGAGGCTGAGAACTTCGGCCACTGCTTTTACTTCCAGGACGGTTTGCAAGGGGTAGCGCTCGGATGCTCCTGAGAAGAGCTGTGCAGGGTTGAGAAGGGGAAAAGGAGGGGAGTGGGGTGAAGGTGAGGTGCGTGGAGGGGGGATGTAGGGAGGATCGGAGGGAGAAGGACGGAGGGGAGGAGGGAGAAGGGGAGGGAGGGGGGAGTGAGGAAAGAAAGAGACATGGGAGAAGAATTGGGGGGTGAACGAGAGAGTGAGGTAAAGTCAAGGGTCGGAAATTTCACAAAGAAGGAAACGGCCTGGAATAAAAAATGGAAAATGAGAACTGGGCAGCCAACGCAACAACACACAAGCACAAGCAGGTGGTTCAGCCAGGCTTCCTGACTCGTCACATCACAGGTGAGAGAGACACGGCGTTACCTCCTGCAGCGAGAGGAAGGCCGCCTCGTAGCACTTGACAGCAGGCAGCCACTCGCGGCGAAACTCACAGTACATGCCCATCTGAGGGGGATCAGAGGAGGGGGAAGCGAGGCGGGTGGCAGAGGGAGCGGGGGGGAAATGGTGGGGGAGAGAGGGAGGGACGTGGACAGGAGGTCTGTGCTGGTGAAGGAGGGACATAAAAGAGGCGTGCAGCATGAAAGCATTAAAGGGAAATCTCAAACGGATTTGGAGGGGGGTGGGGAGAGAAGAGAGGAAAGCCGGGAGTGCAACAGCGCCCCAGGCTGCACGCTGCCCGCTGCCCACTGTCCCGTGCCCACTGCCCGCTGCCCGCTGCCCACTCCCCACTCCCCACTCCCCACTGCCCACTCCCCACTGCATGGCCGCTGCGCGCACCTTGAAGTAGTAGCGCACGGTGAGCTCGGTGTGCGAGTAGGCACGGCGCTCCACCTTGAGGCGCATGCGCCGCACCTCGTCCCGGTAGTAGTTAGCGCACAGCTCCACCACCACCGCGTACAGCCTGGGGCGAAGGGGTGGGGAGGGATATTGGGCGAGGGTTGCCGAGGGGCAGGGGCGGGGGGGGGTGAGGGGCAGGGGCGAGGGGGGGTGAGGGGCAGGGGCGAGGGGGGGTGAGGGGCAGGGGGGGGGGGGGGGGGGGGCGGAGGGGCAGGGGGAGAAGGGGGCAAAGGAGCAGGGGGCGATGGGGGCAGAGGAGCAGAGGGAGAGGGGAACAGGGGGAGACGGGGGCAGGGGGAGAGGCGGGCCGAGGGGGAGGGGGGCAGGGGGAGTCAATATGCTGAGCAACTAGAAGCACATATGTGGCAAAAGTGACTTGAAGCGAAAGAATTAAGATTGCAGGAGGTAGGCCATGCGATTGATGCTGGAGGGGAGGGATGGGTTATACGTGCAACAATGCCGGGAGAAAAGGAGAGAGCAGAGGAGGGGCGATATTAGAAGAGGGAGTCCGCATGTGGGCATTTGTGCAAGCACATGTGCGAGTGCACGCGCATGTGTGCATGTGCATCTCACCGGGAGAGGGAGCGTTTCTGGTCCTCGGCATCGCCCACGAGGAAGGGGATGCAGCTGCGCCCATCCACCTCCGCCCGCCGCTTCAGCATGCCCAGCCGCTCCTCACTCATCTCACCTGACCCCGGGGGGCGCGGGCAGGGGGGATGTGGGGCATGGGGCATGGGGCATGTGGTATGGGCAGGGGGCATGGGGCATGGGGCATGAAACATGAGGCATGAAACATGGGGCATGAAACATGGGGCATGAAACATGGGGCATGGGGCATGGGGAACGTGGCACGTGGCATGTGGCATGGGGCATAACTGTGGTTATGAAGGCACAAGGTGATTCGGCCACACTTGGCTTGGCTGCGATTCCAACAGGCATGGGGAGGCTTGGGGAGGCTTGGGGAGGCTTGGGGAGGCTTGGGGAGGCTTGGGGAGGCTTAGGGGGGCTTGGGGAGGCTTGGGGAGGCTTGGGGAGGCACGATCCAGTGTGTAATGGTCAGCCTGGCTGCTGGAGCTGACAGCAGCATGGCATGGTGTGGCATGGAAGCGCTCCAAAACGCCTCAACATACGTATGTTGTGCACCATGGCACATAGTGGCATGGAGAGGCATCAAGTGGTACGGAGGAGCAGGCAGAGCAGGGTTGATTGAGCTTACCGCCTGCTGTAGCCTGCACGAGCAGCAGAACGAGCTTCACATTGCGGCCCCTCAACGCACTCCTGTGGGGCACGGCAACCATGCACGCATACACACGCGCAGGAATGGGTATGCACACAGACAGACACATGTGCATGCATGCACGCATGCGCCCACACACATGCATCCACGCAGCATGCGCGTTCAAGGGGACATACACACATGAGTGCAGGCTACATCTGGCTCCTGCATCCAACACACACAAGCATGTGGGTGGGGTAATCGCCCACACAGGCGTCATTGGTCGTTGGCATGCCTTTCACAGCACATCACCGCACCATACCTTTCATCTCCTAGCTCATCCTCTCCTCTTTCTTCCTTCAACCCGCTCCCTTCCTCACCCACCGTCCCCTTTCGTGTACTGATCGCGCAAACCCCCACCCTCCTTCCGACTCCCATCTGCCCAACTCTACCTCTCCAATCTCCCTCCCCCTCCCCCGCACACCCCAGCAGACACACCACACCACACACGACCACACCACACCACACCGCACTACACCACGCACTTGATCTGGTCGATCTCGGCGCACACGGACTGCCACGCGCCAGCGTCCCCGCACAGCAGCGCCTTCTCCACCAGCACCACCGCCGCCGCGGGGATGCGCTCGCGGTGCTTCTTCACCCACTCCGCCTTCACCACGCCCAGCGGCGGCGCGCACTTGGCGTCCGCGGGCCGCCGCTCCTTCCCGCTCACCTCCGCCGCGTCCGCGCGGTCGGGCACGAATACCGACGCCACGGGCGGGGACTGCGCCTGCAGGTGCTGCGCGATTGCCACGTGGAGCTCCGGCACGCCTAGTAGCGCCACCAGGGGCACCGGCGGAGTGAGCAGCTCCTCCGGGAACGCGTCCATGGTCGGAGCGGAGCTTTCCGCCGGGCGGAAACGGCGCGGGGGAAGGCGGGGGGGGCACTGTTCAGGCGGGGGAGTGGAGAATGGGGATGGGGAAGCGGGGGGAAAGGGTGAAGGGGGAGGAGGGACGGGGATAGAGTGGGTGTCAGATGATATACAAGAGGTGGCCGCCCGACAGGGAGTGCATCGGAGAGAGGGAGATGGAACGTTGCGACGACGAGGCGACAATGACGGGGAAATGGATGGACCGGGATCGGACGCACCTGAGGTAGGGTTTCCTTCGGAATTGCGAGATTATCCAGGCGGTTGACGATTGCTGGGATGCGCGTTCACGTCCCGATGAGTAGGAATTCGAAGGAGGAGGAGCTCAGAATGCGATGGGAAGGCGGGAACGAGCAGCCAGTGTGGCATGCAGCATACGAAAGGCGACGACGCTGCTTATAATGATCATGGATCATGGGTTCGGCACGCGGGTATCCACGTGGCATGCGGGATGCATGGCTATAGGCTGATCGCACGAGCGATGCTGCTCGCCGCTGCTGCCGTCCCGGCGGCTGCAGCTGATGCGGTTGCTGCGGATGCGGGTTCAAACGTGAGGCACTTGGATTGAAGTGCCTCACGCTTGCTGAACCAGCAGCCGCAACTAGGGGGACCGAATCGGAGCAGACGGCGTTGGTTAGGAAGATCACCGGAACGAGATACACCAGAACGGGATAAGCGGGGAGATAAGATGCGGTCAGATTTGCGGGATCGAATACATCGGGGTGATGAAACTAGAGAAGTCTTATGGGGAAACAGTAGACGGCCCCAGCGGCTCGTCCTTCGATCGCACGCTCGGCCCTGAAATTCGGCACTATCCTAGGTGGTTCCTGAAGTTCCTAGTCAATAGAATGTGACTAGCTATTGTCGGATAATATTGGCCGGACAAATGTGGAGATCGGTGAACTAGGTGGATCCTTGATAAGAGCTCACCACACTAAAAGTGCTGCGAGAGAAGGGTACAGATACAGTAAGAAAAAACTTGCATACAAATGTCTCACAACGAAGTAGCTCATAGATTTCATTTGATGTGCACCTCCTTATTGCAATATGAAATACTTGGTTCAGATAGTTAGAACTGTTGACAACGTGTAGGAATTTTCATACAGCGGTTCAGATTGCTTAACTATAGAACAAAACGTAGATGAAGGAATTCCATACAGTTTCTTTGATCAATACTACCGGCAAGGCACACAAAAACATCCAGATACCAACAGTAAGAATCAACAATACTGCTTAGTTTGTGGATCATCCAGGAAACCACACCACACCAAAAAGAGCTTCAAACAACGCCTACAGACACTAACATGAGACATTGGCCTCAACCAGATCTGCAAAAGCAGAGAGATTAAAGGGTGAGAATAAGGCCAGGCAGAGAAGACTTCTGCTCACGCCACAGGCGAGACTCCCAGACTTGAAGCCTGCTAGATGCTACAGAGCTAGCACCTAGCTTCGCGCTGGAAGCCATAGCCTCGCGGCATGAAGCCGCGGGCAGCGAACTTAGCGCGCCAGAAGCAGGTCCAAGCACAGTCGCGGAAACGGCAGTGTTGACGAACTCTTGGAGTCCAGTCACTCTGCCGCTGGCGGGCGACACCGTCCACACGTGGACCCACGCCACATCCACCAGCGCTCCACGACGGGTCTTCACGATGCTGACACCCTCGGAGATAACCTGCATGGACATAGCAAACAAGTGAGTCATAACAAAAACCGGAAATGACTGGCGAATATGAAGGCGGTCGAAACTCTACGCACCTTGTCGTTTTTGGCAGTCACATCGACGGGCATGAACTTCACACCATCAGAATCAACTTCCCCGACAATCAGCGACAGAAATTGCATGCAACGCAGCTGGCGAGATTTAGGACCATGGAACCACCAGTCCACGTCCTCCGCCAAGTGCGCTCGGGCTCTCAGCAGGTCGCCAGATCCGAGAGCGGCATAAAGCTCCCTGACAATACTGAGATTCCGCGACTCCAGCTCGGACGTTATTGAAGAACACGAAATGAACGGAGAGCGCTTAGGGAAAGGCGAAGAAAGAAGTAGGGAGATATTCACAAGGGAAAATACCTAAAACCGCAGTTGGAGGAGAAATGGTGGGGAGAAACTAAAGACAAACTGGCTAGCAGTGAAGGCAGCGAAACTTGGAAGGAGGAAAATCAGGTCTGCTGAAGCGAGCGTTGGGGTTTTGTGCTGTCCTGCTTGACCTCCAGAGTTCGGAAGGAAGCTCGGAATCGGACGTTCAAGCAGACGTTGAAGCGCGCCGAACCACCGTGCCAAAGGAAGCCAATACCATTTTTGTTCCGAACCAGAGCCTCGAGTCGCAGTCTCGCGGAGGCACCACCACGAGAAGCACGCGGTCACGCCGAAGCCAGCGCCTGGCTGGCATGTGCCCTGACCGAGTAGCCATGACACCGTGTTCAGTAACAGGGACCACATCATACCTCACTGCCAGCCATGTGGCACTGACATACATGAGCACAGAAATCCACGGTGGTGAGTGCAACGAAGATTGCGCGCTGCTTACTGGTTTCTGCTCCCAACCAACTGCCCATTTCGCCAGTTGGTTGGTGGTCCCACCCAGCAACTGCAGGTAAAGCTTGTCCGTATAGGTGTAAGAGTTACAGTACAGTGAAATAGGAGAAGGAAGGTTTCACCATCTGCATAACGAAATCACCTACAAAGTATAATAAGCTCATGAGTTACAAAAATAGCTAGCCAGTTGGTATGGCTATTTTTCAGCTTGCACTGAGGCACATTTCACACCGTCAGTGTCATGAGGTTTAGCTCCCTAACCGAAGCACTTGGAACAACGATGGTGAATCTGATACAGTACTGAAATGTTATTGGATTTGTTAAACGTACACTAGGCACCATGCCATGATCCCTCGTCTTTATTAACATGAAATGAATTACAGGAAAGCATGATTCACTAACCCAGAGTCGTTAAGATGTAGGAATGTAGATCTCTCAACATGGAGCCAATTCTACGGTACGTGTTTTTTAACAGCATTCACACGTGCATTTTGCTCCACCTCGCCCCGCACCTCCAGCATCGCTGCCCCCTGCCACACTGCAAGCCCCCACAGCTCCTGCACTACACCATAAGCAAGGGAGCAGTTGAACCAGTCAAAGTCGAGGGGAGCAGCTATATACGTGATGCTGCCATGCACTGGAAAGAACGCTGCTTCATGAAATGTAGCTTGTAGCAAGTAACTAGTATGGCGCCGCTGGGTTGTCTTTCAACAGCACTGAACCAGGTGATGGGGAAATGTTCGCTGCTGCTGTGCCCGTGCAGCAACACTCCCTTGGTCAAGGAATTCAGAAGCATGTCTTTGCTCCTCTGTCCGCTCTGCTATTGCACTACTGTCGCTGCTGATATCGCAGCCACAGCCCCTGCTGCCAACGCTGCTGCACCAGCTGCCACTGCCACCACTCCCGCTGACAGCAAACCAGGCGAGATCGCAGCAGGCGCAGCATCAACAGCGGCAGCAGCAGGAGGAGAGGAGGAGCGAGCGTGGGTGGGAGAGTTGCCATGTAGTAAGAATGTGAGGATGGTGTGGTTGAAGCGAGCAGTGTCGTCCGCTTGTAGTGCATGCGAGCCTTTTTCAAACACCTCCAGGCGACTGCACGGTCCGAAGTGCCTGTGGAAAGGGAAGCAGCAGCGAGCGCAAGGAGCGGGGCGAGCGCAAGGAGCGAGAGAGGGGAAGTGAGAAGGAAGGGGGGTGGGTCGGATAGGGATTGTGGGCGGGTGGAAGCGAAGAGTGGGGCAGGTGCTGGATGGTGAGGGGAAGTGACGACGGTATGCACAAGCAGGGCTTTAAGGACAGCACTGAATGGCGCTGTCTGGTAATGTGTGGCAACGGATGGAATTGCATGGCATTGCGTGGCACTACATTGCCTTGTGTGGCATTGCATGGCAGTGTGCAGCAGGGTGGAGTGGCAGTGGCACACGTACTTGTGCATGCGGTAACCAATGGAGATGGGGAACACTGCGTCATCCTCTCCCCACACGATCAGCGTCTCCTGTACACCACAGAATGACATACAGACAGGCATAAAAAAGACCTCGTGAGGCGATGGGGGTTGCGGGACAATGCAGCACATACACATGCGGCATCAGAAAAGGCACAAGCGGCACGCCAGTGTCAGCCCTGAATACAGGCTCGTCTAGCCTGTAAGACGAGCCTGTATTCAGGGCTGACACTGGGCTGACGGCACTCTCATCTCAGACATGACTCAGTTGCACTGCACTGCACTACACCTGGCACTGCTCCGCACACTGCGCAGTGCACTGACCATGGTTGGCACGGGGTAGTGTGCGTCTCCATGCACTCTCTGCTCGCACAGGTCCTCCAGTAGTTGCGCCTTCTCCTCCCTGTTCTCAAAGAAGCGCTGCACGCACCACACCATGCACAATGCACAACACACCATGCACCACACACCAGGCATGAACGCAACCCCCCCCGCAGTGACCCATAAGAGTAGCGTGAGAGCAATGCAGCAAACCAGGAACGCAGCATATCGGCAATGCAGCAACGCAACGTGCGAGGACGACAGAGAGCGCAAAGGCGTGGGTAAAAAGACGGGACGGACAGGGGGACGCATGAGGAAAGCCAGCAGCCCACCTGCTACCACACTGCTGCCACTTCACGCTCATTCCTCGCCATGCGACACAAGTACCATTCCCCCCTCCACCACCCTCTCCCCCTCCACCTACCCCAATATGTTCCCCCTTTCCCCTCCTCTCCCCCCGTCTCCCCCGCGCCCACCGCGCGCACTCACGTCAACAGCGTCCTGGAGAATCCACTCAGGCAGGTACGGCGTTTCCCGGTGCGCCATGCCGATCAGGCGCAGCAGCTCCGCGGGCGTGCGCGGAAGGAAGAGCGGCACGGTGCTGTCCACGCCCCAGCGCGCGATGAGCGCGTCGTACTCCGCGCGGTTCATCATCACGCCGGATCCCGCCACCGCCAGCCGCGCCACGCGCGACGGGGAAAGCGTCGCCATGCTGCCCGGGAGAGAGGCGCGGGAGCGGGGGAGACGGGTGAGGGAAAAAGGGTGGGGAGTGGGACGGGGAGAGTTGGACAGCGAATTGCTGGCGGAGCTTTCAGTGGCGGTGGCACGTTGGTGGACCTGCGAAGCACGGTGCAAGGAGGCGCAGCGAGACGAGGGTAGGTGACAGGGCGAGGGTAGTAGATAGGGCGAGGACATTTAACGGGGAAGGAGACGGGTACTAGAGGGGGTGGGATGGACTACCAGTTGGTGCTTGAAAACGCTCAAAATCCAAATACACGACATTCAGCGCCTTGGAGTGCTCGGCGACATGAAGGGTGCCGCATTGTAAATGCCCGCGGACATTCCGGCCACGCGTCCCTCCGCCGCCGTCGTCAATACGACATTCGGGCGGCATGCGACACGCAGCTCTCGATCCTCGATCTCGGAGCGGAGCGCGGGGCCATGCGGCATGCCGCCTGATCCTCTCGCGGGGGGTCACGGCTGGAAGGCCCCGAGGGTACTACCCCCACGCTCGCACATGGTTTAGCATCGCTCGCAATCTAAGTTCGCTTCTAGTCGTGAGGTCAACTCGCACACTCGCACATGGTTAACCGCACTCGCACTCGCTCGCAGTCTAACTTCATTGCACCGCACGCCGCACCGCGTCCTGGACGACCCACATTGGCGCTTCCGATTGCAATCCGGCGATTTCGCGAAACAATAGTGAGTAATTACGATCTCATTACACACCGCCGCCGCGTTCGCGAGGCGAACCGGACTTCTCGAAGGTTCGATCCATCTCGCGAGGAATAAATGACCACTATTGGAGTAATAACACTCGTCACTTGCATCCCGGACGCCCCATTCTCACCGGTACGCGACAATCCCCCCGTAGCTGAGCCCCACCACTTGGCACCGCTCTATACCGAGCGCGTCCATGAGCCCCAGCATGGCTTCCGCCTGGAAGAACTCTCCGCGGCGCTTTGCGCTCGCGCTGGTGGAGGAGAAGAAGTAGACGAGGCTGGGAATGTACAGCTCGAAGTGCCGCGACAGCACCGGAATCTGCTTTATCCAGTGGTTCAGCGACGACGCGCCGAAGCCGTGGATCAGTAGCAATGGCGGCTTGCGGCCACTACTCCGTCGCTCGCTGGCTGTCGCCGGCGAGGCGACAGAGTCGCCGTCGTCGCCGGCGTCGTTGTGATCGTCGCCGTCGTCGTAGGCGGGTTTTCCGTGCGAGGCGGGGACCCAGCAGGCCATGCGCGTGTGGCCGTCCTCTACGATGAAATGCTCGAGCCGCAGACCGTACGAGCGGTACAGGAGCGCGTGTAAGGTCTCCTGAATCTCCACCACGTTCGGCAGCAGCCGGACCGACGGCGCCATTGCGCCTCGCGGGGCTCGGGGAAGCTTCGGCGCGTGGAGGGTGCGCAGCGTTGGTGCAGAGAAGCGTGGGCGTAAGGAGTGTAGGCGTCGCTGAGAGGCTCGGAGAGCGCAATGCGGGACGAATGCGCGCTGGGAAAGGGACTTATATCACAGCCGAGTTCCTCGGCTCGAGGTAGCAAGAGAGGCTGAGACGGGAGACACAGAGCGGGTGATGCACCAGCAACAACTGGAGGATGGAGCAGCTGCGTATGTACTGTACTAGAAGCACCTGTGGACTGACTCTGGTCTGGTCTGGACCTGCCTCACTCTGGTGACTTGCCGTTGGGAGAGAGTGGCGGGCTGGGGCGGGGGATCGAGCTGATGACGAGCATGCTGGCGGTGGAGGGGGGAAAGTGGGGGAAGAGGAGAGGAGAGAAGAGGAACTAGGTGAGGCACACATGTCGGCCGGACTTCGCCGAGTCGTGTGGCATAGCAAGAGCTGACACCAAGGCGCCTCGGGCGGGAGGTGTGGGGTGCAGGGATGTCGATACATGTACAAGGAGATTTTCCCTCGCTCAACTCAGCTCATGTTCGTAAGGGGCTGGGCAAGGTCTGACCTAGATTTGATACGGGCGTTTTTGGAGCCTAACCGGGAAATTTTGACAAGAACCTCACCTTTCACCTCCCAGACAGTGGAGGATCAGCTGTGCCTTTTCAGATAGTGAAGGAATCCACCTGGTCGTTGCGTCCCAGACCAGCTACTTATATAAATATATTCATTTGTTTTCACACTGGTGATGAAGCAGATCACCTCATGTGTTAATTTCTGAATATACGTTTCGAAAATCGACTCATCAACCCGTTTGCTAACATGCCAGGTTTGAGCCAACGCAAAAAAAAAACCGGTCTTGCTTTGGGCCAGCTCAGTTTTGTAAGTTCTGGGCCGACCAATCGACAGCCTTGGTGGGTTGGAGAGACAACTTGACCGTACAGTCGTGGGTTGTGAAAATAAGTTGTACACACATAGTGAAACGACTTCCTTTGAGTACAGTACATGAAGCGAGCACAAGATGTTCGCCTGCCTCGCCAACTTTGCTACGCGAATGGGGCTGTAGTGAGCAAGTGAAGAAATGTTGGTAACACTTTAAAATATCTGACGAAGGGACGGATGACAGCGCGATAAGCTGTGTGATTACCGGCTGCGATAAACAATTGGAACTGTACCGTGCGTACAACTGCCCGGTCCCAATGTACATGGGCAGGATTTCGGGATTTGAAAAGGCAATTTTGCGAGCAGGGGTTGAGCATCGTGTGTCCAAAGTTCAAACTGTGTTTCCACATCCGCAATAGAAATGTACCCATCCGCAATTTACCCACATCCCATTCTGTGGTGGAGGTGCACTCGAATCTTTTTCACGCGTATGTCAAATGCTCGATCGGTACAGAGGTCGGAAACTGCACTCATGAGTTTTACAACAGAATAAAATACCCGTATGGGTCCTCACAATTATATTCATGAAGCTACGCAGGGGGGATTGTTACAAGTGCAACTAAACGAGTGAATAGAGGATTGCACTACGGAGTCAAAGACGCACAAGCATGAGTGAAGGCATTTGCGAAAGCTATATGGAAACGGTAACGTGGTGTTGCGAGCTAACCTATGCCGTGCTGGCTGGTATGCAACGAGGTTCGGGCTACTCCCGACCCGAGGTATATGCCGGCCCAGCCTTGTGCAGTAGTGCAAGATTTGACCAAAGCAGTGTTGCGGTAGGATAACTGAACTGAAGCATCACAAAAAAACAAAAAACAAAAAACAAAACATTGCCACTACTGGTAATTCACTCCGTTCATAGTGATGATATCAGAATTAGTTCATTGGTAACACTCATACCGTACAACATGCAAGAAAACAGCTTCATCCCTACTTGCCTCCCTTTCCCCCCTGCTTACTTGATGGGCTGAACGGCTATAGGAGACCGCACTATGTGCCCCTGGTCATCTGTCCATGTGAGACTGCCATAGACAAAGTTTGGATTCTTTCTCTGAACTGTAAATGTAACCGTATAGGTCACAGTTTGGCCTGGCTCGATCGTGAAACTCTTAGGGGCCACGACGACATTGACGCCACTTGGAGGCTCCACCGAAGATTCGTATGTCGAAGCCTCGCTGGCGACATTGGTAACCCGTCGCGTTACCGCCAGCGTCCGCTGAAGCTTAGACACACTAATGGACGCACGGTTGAGATTGCACGCACGAATCGCCTTCACGGTCATCGATCGGAACTCCTTCTTTGCCTGATTCATGTTCACACCTGCGAGGAAATTTCTGTATTCCGTCTCATTCGAGTCGTATGTCAACCCGGGGTCGAGAACATTCATAGGGTTCACATGGCCCGCGCCAATCTCCCAGGGGTTCGCAACGCGGTCGCCTGTTGGCGGCGACTGCCGCCCTTTCGACATTGTGCGAATCAGCGATTCCTTGTTGTTTGTCACGCTTGCCGTGGTCATCATTGCCGACATGATCTGAGCCGGAGTCCACGACGGCTTCTGCTGGATTATAAGCGCCGCAATCCCCGCAACATGCGGTGTAGCCATAGACGTCCCGGAGAGTCTCTTGAAGTAGTCATCATAGTCGGTGAGTGAGGGACTGGGTGCAGCGCCCCAGAGCTGAACGCCAGGAGCGATGATGTCGGGTTTGAGGATGTCGTTAGTGGGCCGACCGGGCGCAGGGGCAGCGGCTGGCGCGGCTACAGGGCCGGTGGAGGAGAAAGGCGCGAGGATAGGCGCCTCGTCGGGAAGGTCAGGGGACTCAGTGAAGCTGAGAGGAGGGGGGAAGGGGAGAGGGGGAGGGATATGTGAGAAGGTTGGGGGTGTGACAGGTGAGGAAGCGGTGAGGAGAGGAGGAAGAGAATGACGGGATGTTGGGCTAGGCTTTTGAAGGAGGCACAAAGGTAGCAGCAGGAGTGAGAAAGAGAAGGCCGCGCACCAAGGATGAAGGAGGGGAAAGCATGGCATTACGAGGAACGGGGAAGAGATTGGCGTCCCGGAGAGGGAAGTGAGAACCGTAAAGTACAGGATAGGGGTAAGGGGGTTGAAAAGGGGGAGGGAGGGGCCGTACGTCAAGCTTTTGAGTTCCTTGGAAGAGATTGTGACGGGCCCTTCAGACTTGGTGGTCACACCCGACCCAGCATCGGCATCGGCGTCAGCATCAGCACCCGCACCAGCATCAGTATCGGCACCACTGCTGCCGCTGCCAGAGGTACCAGACGTGGGCAGTGAGTCGGTGCTGTCAGCGCCGGCGTTGGGATCAGAGCTGGGGGTCTTTTTGGCCTCTGAGGTGATTGCTTCGCCTGCCATGTCTGTGTAGATGCTTATCGTGCTGATGGGGGGGCGAGGAGGGAAGGGACGAGGAGAGGGGGAAGAGGGGAGGGGGAAGAGGGGAGGGGGAAGAGGGGAGGGGGAGGGGGGGAGAGACGGCGGAGGATAGAGGAGAGAGAGGTGAGTGGTGTTTGGCGCTGGTCGTGCGTAGTGGCTCTTGTGGTTCCGAGGGTCGACAAAAGAGCGAAGAGAAGGAAGCGCGGCGAGTTGCGGAAGCGCGAGTGGTTGACGAGGGCGTAGGGAAGAGGGAAAAAGGGAGAGCTGAGAGCGAAGAGCAGAGAGGGGGGAGTGTACCTGGCTCCCACGGAGAGATACCACGGCGAGAAGTTGTCAATGAGACGGTACTCCCCCCTGGCCGGATGCACACTGCCCGCATTGCCCGCTGCAAACGCCACCACCACGCCCGCCTGATGAAGGGGGGGAGGGAAGGGGAGGTGAGGAGGAGGCAAGGAGAGGAGGGGAAGGGAGACTGACTTTCTGCCACACCTCAAGATCAGCAAAAGAGGAGCACCGGAGAACTTGCATCATGCATCTTGCAAAACGTGCCGGTCTGGGAGTTTGAAACGTGGAGGTTGGAGGTGAGAGGGAGTCACGAGGTGGCAACGACGTACAGCGTGCGCGTTGAGAAAGGGCAGGTCGTCAAAGTACGTGGCGCGCGTGTCCACGCCTCCGAACGACAGGCTGAGCACGTCCACGCCGTCCGCCACGGCGGCATTCACGGCGGCGTTCACGTCCGCGGAGTTGGCCCACATGCTGCCCGCGTGCGTCCAGAAGATCTTGTACACCGCGAGGCGCGCGCGCGGCGCCATGCCGCTCGCCGTGAGGTCGCCTATAACGACGCCGTTGTTGCCCGCCGCGGCGCTGGCAGGGGGGGGAAAGGGGAAGGGGAGGGGAAGGAGAGAGCAGGGAAGGGGAGGACACGGGGCGGAGGTCGTAAGATGCTGAAATGGGGCCTGGGTTTGAGTGCAAGTGGACGAGGTTTCAGCGGGAAGGGGGGCGTGAAAGGGCGGGGACACGTGGTGATTGACGCAGTGCGCGCAAGAACGAGGGAGGGGAGGGTAGGGAGGAAAGGGAGGAAACGGACGGGATGGGCGGGGAAGGGAGGGAAGGGAGTGGGGAGAGAGAGGCACGCGACGCAGGGCAGCGAAGCGCGTACCTGGCACACCACGTGCCATGGCCGTCGGTGTCGCGCGGCGAGTTGAAATCCGAGGAGAAGTCGATCTTGCCCTTGACCTCCTTGTTAAACGCCGCGTTGAAATAGCGCGCGCCCACCAGCTTGCCGTTGCACGCCTGGAAGTCGCTCGTCGTCTGGCACTCGCCCTTGAACGACGCCGGCGGATCGCCGTACGGGTTCACGTCCTGGTTGCGGTTGCGCGGAAAGGCATGCGCGGGGAGCGGGGAGATGGGGGGCGAAAGGGTGTGTTAGCGGAAGGATATGCGCGGGAAGATGAGGGGGGTTCGAGGTGAGGTGGAAGGGGCGCAAGGTGCGTGTGAGGGGCGTGACGGGGTGGTGAGGCTGGAAAGTTAGGAGGGATGAGCGCGCGTGCAGGCGATTGGTCCCAGCGCGCAAATCTCACTCCGCGCGCCTCGCCGCCCTTGTAACCAGTCGCACAGACTACGAGTCGGCATCCCATCGCATCGCAT